AATGTTATTAGGGGTTTGTCGTCATGAAATCAGACACTAAACGGTGACAGACAGTTCGGAAACTGTCACTCATTCACGTTGTATCCGGGCAAGTTAACACTCCATTACAGACAATAGACCCGACACATTCCTACCTGATGATGTCACGTGCTATTAATAGACCAGCCGAGGTATTTGCGAGAATAGATATGACCTCAAAGCCCAGCGACGTGTTGACACCTGCTACCAATACGGACGTGAAAATATGTCGAGGATAGTATCCCGAATTAATTAACTCAACATATGTTCGGAAATTTTAATTAAACAAAACAAAACAGAACGTGAACCCTGGATTCCACGCAAAGTGACATGTTCATTTCACTGATACATGGTGATTGAAGGTTCGGCTAGCCTCCTAATCGGTCTTTCTTTTTAAATTGAATATTAAAACATGGTTGCCAGTACAAAATTACGGCGTGGTGACGTCTTCCGTCTTTTCGTTGCTCAACTACAGTGTCGAATTTAACACTCCCTTCGATTTATTATGTAATTATCTCTCCACTTTCTGTACATGTATTTTTTAATGTCGGTCTCACGGCATTTAGTATAATATTATATGAATAAACGTTTTTATATTTACCTTCAATTTATAAACAACTTCATAAGGCCATGAATACGCAATATGGTCTAATGTAAACAATATTTATCATGATAATTAGTCTAAATATTTACCGATCAATCATGTTTTATGACATGTGGATTCTGCTAAAAATATTTCGATGTTGGTGGTAGTTGAATACAGCGCCCTCAACGTGATTGGCAGATTATCATGGCCATAGCGGTATCAGTGAGGATTCCCATGGCCCCAGAAAATTCTCTGTATTTCCGTGATAAAATGTCGTTCATTTATTACTTGTCAGAACACGCGTGTTGCCAGTATTAATAGGTACGTACATTGTAGTGAATGAAAAACACCTTCAGTTTTGCAAAATAATGATTTTGGAGCAGCCGGCTCCGTATAGTAGGTGGCGGCATGTGGAGGTTCAACTCAACTTGAATTTACGCAAGCTGCGAAGAATGAGGAATTATATACGTCTCGTGGATTAACATATAATTGCTATATGTTAATTGCTATCAGTTAAAGCGGGGGAGTCGTCACCTGCACATGCCTCAGATGGCCATAGCGTGTCACTGTTTACTAACAAGCCTCTACCCACGAGCCTTTGCGTTTTAGCGTGTGTTATCGTCGCTTGGGACTCAATTCCCGCGCGTGCGCAGGTGACGACCCTCCCGCTTTAAATAAGTAATCTTGCTTATAATTGCGTGAAGTCTCGTACATACGAAGTCTATAGCAGCAAATTACACGTACATGTATATGTATTGTATTTTTTTGTATTCATCAACGACAATGGCCATTGTAAAAGGGAACTCGGGTAATGAACGTGGTAGGTTTGTGTACCAAGGCAGGTGGTGTATAGCAACCACCGCATTCTATATTTGTGTCATTTATCATTTCGATTATTCAAAATAGATTATAGAATAATGGCGTTTCGTGAAAGACAGCGAGTGTCGTGCGGAATCGGACGCCATGTAGTCCGATTTCTTTGTTTTCACTTCATAGCTCTGTTGATACTTTGGTATAATACGTGTTTACACCAACTGTGACAGACCATGCGCCAAGCGTGGAAATCGTTTGACCGTTTACACTGTTCTATTTTTGGCGTCGTTGGACGAGGATGTATGTATGTACATATCAGAACTCCCCGCATTAATTTTACTTCCTGAATGACAAATTGTGATGTTCGTGATAC